TTCTTGGTAAACATAACCTTCCAGGATTTCCTTGTTTGTAGCTTTCAATGACTTTCTATGTGTAGCACAAAGCCAAACCCAGAAGGCTGGCATCCGTGTGTGCTCTGGTTCCCGGTTGGGTCTCTTTCTTAACTTCCTCCTTGCCATCCCTTTCCCTACCTATGCAGAAAGAATTTATGGAACCCCTAGAGCCTCATAAAGGAGAGACTGTGCTTACATATTTTCATGCTTACACATGCCTTCCCTTGAAGCAACCTGACCGACCCTCTGTAGTGAAATCTGATGCTTCCAATCACACCGGGCAGGCTGTCTGTTCCCAAACCCAGGCAGACCCTATCAGAACACGGGTTGTACTTTCTGACTTTGGAGTCTTTTCCCAGCAAGTGGCCTACAGAACAGAGAGCACAGGGCTTGCAGAAATGTCTCCTGGGATCAAGAAATAATTTAACAGTGTCCTGGATTCTCCTAGGGATTGCTTATCAAGAGCCGTAAAAGCGTTCATGCACTTTGACCACTATGGTAATTCTAAAACTGGCATTTTATCTCAGAGAAGTTATTTAAAATAAGGGGGAAGCTGTATGTATACATGTATGAAAATGTTTATGATACTGTGATATGAACTATAAAGCAATTAAAACTACAAATGTCAAATCTTTATGGACTGGAGAAGAGGTTATACATTATAAAATATACAGATGTTGGAATAGTCAAGCCATTGAAGCAACAGGTTTGATTGCTAGGCAGCACATGGAAAACTTTTTTTGATAAAATCTGTGTAAGCAAGGGAGCAGTAAAACCACTGAACTGGACCACTCCATGGGGAGGAGGGTCTATTGGGGATCAAACTGCCAAGGCTGTGTCTTGGAAGGTTACAGAGAAGCAAAATGTCGAAAAAGCAAGCAGATTTTATTTTTTTTATTTTTAGAACTTTTCAAATTTATTAATTTATTCCTTTACATCCCATTCCCAGTTCCCTCTCTTTCCTCTTCTCCTGCTCCCCCTACTTCTCCCCCATCCTGCCTCCCACCTGCTCTTCTGAGAGGGTAAGCCCTCCCCTAGGAAGTCTATTAAGTCTGTCCCGTCATCTACTTGAAGCTGGACCAAGGCACTCCCGTCATGTCTAAGTTGAGCAAGGTCTCTCTCCATATAGAATGGGCTCCACTAAGTCAGTTCATGCATTAGAGTTAGATCTTGGACCCACTGCTAGTGGCCTCATATATTGTCCCAGACACACCATTGTCACCTACATTCAGGTAGTCTAGTTTGGTCTTATGCTGCTTCCCAAGTTGTCAGACTGGAGTTAGTGATCTCTCACTAGCTTGGGTCAGCTGATTCTGTGGTTTTCTCCATCATGGTCTCGACTCCTTTGTTCATATTATCGCTCCTCCCTCACTTCAATTGTACTCTGGGAGCTCCACCCAAGTGGATTTCTGCATCTGCTTCCATCTATTTTTGGAAGAGGATTCTAGCTTCTTTGGGGTTGTTGATTGTAGGCTAGGTATCTTTTGCTTTATGTCTGGTATCCACTTACGAGTGAGTACATACTATATTTGTATTTCTGGGTCTGAGTTACCTCACTCAGGATGTTTTTTCCTAGTTCTGCCCATTTGCCTGCAAATTTTAGGATGTCATTGTTTCTTACCACTGAGTAGTACTCCATTGTGTAAACATACCACATTTTCTTTATCCATTCTTCAGTTGAGGGGTATCTAGGTTGTTTCCAAGTTCTGGCTATTACAAATAATGTTGCTATGAACATAGCTGAACAAATGGCCTTCTGGTGTGAATGTGCCTCCTTTGGGTATATGCCTAAAAGTGGTATTGCAGGGTCTTGAGGTAGGTTGATTACTAATTTTCTGAGAAATCACCATACTGATTTCCACAGTGTCTGTACAAGTTTGTACTCCCACTATCAGTGGAGGAATGTTCCCCTTTCTCCACATCCCCTCCAGCATAGGCTGTCACTGATGTTTTTGATTTTAGCCACTCTGACTGTGTAAGATGGAATCTCAGAGTGGGTTTGATTTGCATTTCCCTGATGACTAAGGACATTGAGCATTTCCTTAAGCGTCTCCTGACCTTATACGGTAGCAGGCTTTCTCTGAAGAGGATGTGGTTTTCTCTCACATGCCCTGCGCTGTGGAGTGTGCCTTGTGGGAGGGGTTTCCAGTCTTTCCTTCTATTTTGTTTCTTCATATGTTAATCTTTTTTAAACATTAAAGTAATAATCATAGTTATTATTATTGTGTGTGTGTGCAAATGTGTTTGTGTGTATGTGTGTGTGTGTGTGTGTGTGTGTGTGCAGGAACATGCATGCTTCAGCATGTGTGTGAAGGTCAGAGGACAACTTTCAGGAGTGTTTTTTTTTCTTCTATGGTGGTTTCTTGGTATTGAACTCAGGTCAGTTGTAGGGTCTGAGGAAATGCTGAAGGAAGACCCCAGACTGAAATTGTAATAGTATGTAACAGCAAAGAGTGTTATTATAACACATGCATGTGGGGTAATTCACCTGTACAAAATGGCAGTGAACCCAAACAGAACATGTAGGCTCCTTTAGGTCAGGTCAAACTTAACTGGTTAAGCAAACTGCAGTTACATTAGTGCATTTCTAATTGGCTGAGGTTTAGTCTTATCATTTCTGGACACATCTACGTAAGCTTGGATGTGACCCAGAAGGGGGCTGCTGGGTTTGTCCTGGAGATACTTGTATTTAGTTTTTTCCCTCAACCCTGAATGTAAGGGCCTTGAAGATCAACAGTTCTTTGTTGGAAAAGACACCTGTATGTCCTTCTAAGAGAACAGAAACTTAGATTCAGTTGTAAAAAGTTTGAAAGTTTAATCCCTTCACATGGAGCTTGGCAACAAATGCTTGGCAACAAATTACCCACAGCCATCTCTCTGGTCCTCATGTGTTAATCTTGATGCCTCTTTCTTCCTATATGGATTGCTTATCTTTTCCAAGTGCAGAAAGTTTTGAGTTTACTGTCTTCTGAAGACAGTAATAGCAAAGCAACGTAAGAAAGGAGGGGACCCGACCTGAGTCACTAGTCATTCATACAACACATTTAAACAATTAAAAATATACTAGGATGGATGGGAGGAGAGCAATGGGAATTGAGTTTGGCTCTAACCCTGACAAAACATATAATAAACAGAAGAAAAGCAAGCCATTGAATATGTGATGACAATGAGCTCTGCGCTGCAGAACAGAGTCCCAACTATAACACTTTGAAAAAGCAAGCACAAGGGTTTTATTTCTTTCAGACTCTCCCTCCTAGGCAGTAAACTGCTTTAGGACTCACAAATTAGACAGACATTAGCAACGTTTGCTGTTCTGTCTCTCTGTCTAGAGTGGGTTCCTATTTTCAAAGTTCTAAGCAAAACAAACAAAAAAGCCACATAAAAATGCAAACCCAAGTGAAGGAATAATTTTTTAAAAATTTTTTTTCCAAGACAGGGTTTCTTTGTGTAGCTTTGGAGGCTGTCCTGGAACTCACTTTGTTGACCAGGCTGGCTTCAAACTCATAGATATCTGCCTGCCTCTGCCTCCCAAGTACTGAGATTAAAGGCGTGCGCCACCACTGCCCAGCTAGTTTATGCTTTTTTTGTTGTTGTTGTTTGCTTATTCTTGTTTTTAGACAGGTTTGTAGACCAGGTTGGTTTTTAAGCTCCTTATTTATTCAAAGATGACCTTGAAGTTCCCATCTTCTTGTCTTCACCTCTGCCATGTTTGTGAGGTGCTGAGGCTGGGCCCCATCCTCCGAGCATGCTCAGTAATCCTCTCCCACCTGAGTACACCCCCGGCTCAAGAGACAGTTTTCAAACTTCACTTTAGATGTATTTCCTGAGTGGTCTTGTTTTGAAGCGGTGTGATCTGCCAGTTGTTTGTAGATCATTTTACCAGCTGGGGAGCTGATCTCAATCATATTGAGTTTCTGGGACCTCCTTTGTCATGCAAACCAAGGCAGTCAGACTAACCGAGCTGGGTCCTCCCAAGGGCCCAACAGAAGGCCTTTGCTCAACAGTGAATGGTAGTGTTGGGGTCCCTCAAATTGAGGAGGGGTCCCCAAGCTGGATTCATCGCCCCAAGAATCAAGAGTCCACGTCGCCAATTGATGCAACACGCAAGAGGCTTTAATTAGGCATCTGTAGGTGGGCCTCTCGGTCAGCTTTTAGACCGATTGGCCCCAAGGTTCAGTTACAATCAGCTCTTAAAGACGAAAACCACAAGTCTTTGGGAGGGGTCCCTGTCTTGTGATGAGGGGGGGAGGTGACCAGGGGAAGTAGATGTCTTCCTGACCTACAGGTTGTAAATTCCTCAGACCATGATATGAGTTAATCATCTCTCCCTAAGTAAATGGTGGTTATCATCTCCTTGTTTCCCACGAATCTTGTTTGCCCGTCTCTGACGCCCTGGTTACTTCTTCACAGGTGGTCAGCAGCCCAGAATTTGGCCTTTTGTGGGTTTACAGCCCTTCTGCAATTAAGGTTGCTAAACCATACATCCCATTCTGTGGTTTGGCCAGTTCCTGGAATGAGGCCCTTTGTTCACTTTCTGAGTTCTTGAGTGGGGTGGTCTCCTTGTTTGAGCTTATATTTTATTTCTATAAATTCGAGGTCTTTCAGTAGGATTATTGCTGGGCTCTGGCTCTCTACCATACACAGACATCGGCAGTGGCTGATGCTCTGCCTGTCGCTCTCATTGGATTCCTGTTTTGAAAACTTTCTTTCCAAGTCACAGGTGAAGACTGGTCCCAAATATTAACTGGGAGTTGATAGACGTTCTTACTGTTATTGTCTTGCAGCTGTGGGCGATGAAGCCCAAACCACAAAACTCAATTAAAGTCCACGTGGAGTTTATTGGGGAAAGGGAGTAAAGGGAGGGGTAGGTGTCGTTGGCCAACCGGGAACAGAGATGGAAATGGAAGGGGAGGGGCGGGGCATGACGGGGTATGGGGGGCGAGATGGAAGGGAAAAGGAAGAAAGACCAGGAAGAGAGGGGAGACAGAGGGGAAGAAGGGGTGAACAGGTAGGAGGCGCTCACTTATAAAGGGAAAGCTTGCATGTGCGCAGAGTCCAATGCAGCCACGTAATGCGTGACACAGCCATGCAACGCAGGGCCCTCTGAGCCATCTTAAAGTATCTGCCTGAATGCAGGTGTGCATCCCCTGCCTATTGCCAGGGCGTGGGGTCAGCATGATACCCGAATCCTTACACTTACAGTAATTACATGTGACAGGAAAAAAAGAGCAAGTCAAGTGCTGACGCCACAGCCCGAGTTGGAACTTACTCCCACTTCTCCCTGTCTTGTTTCCACTCTGTGCGCTGTTTTCTTCCCACACCGGACCAAGTTTTGGCTTGGTAAGTCACCCATTTCCAAACCAATAGCCTCTAAGAGGTTCAGGACCCCTTCCGAAGCCTGGGATCGTCTGCCAAGCTGCAGCCAAGTCAGGGCAAGCCGACGTAGGGCAAAGACAGTCTTAGTTCCGGGTACCTTTGAGTGAAGAGACACCTACCTGCCCCTGTGATGATAACACACAGGACACTTTATTAATTATGAAGCTGTTGGCTGTTCTTGTTGGCTAGCACTGACTTAATTATTAACCCATAACTGCTAATCTGAGTATTTCCACGTGGTCGTCTCTTACTGGAGACAGGGTCTGGACCTCTTACTCCTCTCATGTACTACATGGTGACTGACTGTACCTCCATTTCCCAGAATCCTCCACCTCTCCTAGTCCCACCTATCTTTTTTTTAAATTTAAGTTTAAATTAGAAACAAGGTTGCTTCACAAGTCAGTTCCAGGTCCCTCTCCCTTTCCCTCCCCCCCTCCCATGCTCTCCCCCCAGCCCCCCCATATCCCTTCATTTTCCCAGGGATGGTGAGGCCCTCCATGGGGGTGTCCACAGTCTGTCATTTCATCCAGGGCAGGGCCTAGACCCTCCCCCAAGAGTTCAGGGTGAGAGTGCATCTCACATTGTTGGATGGGAGTCCAAAGTCCATGTGTATACCCGGGATGAGTACTGATCTACTGCCCAAGGCTCAATAGATTACCTAGGTCTCCTCACTGACACCCACATTCAGGGGGTCTTGATCAATCCCATGCTGGATTCCCAGGCATTATCCTGGAATTCAAGAGCTAACTCTTGTAAGGTCAGCTGTTTCTGGGGGTTAAACCAGCCCAGTTTTAATCCCTTTGGTCATCAGTCCTCCCTCTCTGTTACTGGTTTTCTTGAGTTCAGCTCAGTGCTTAGCCATGGGAGTCTGCCTCATCAAGGTTCTGTTTCCCAGACTCTCTGGCCATGGGACTGTAGGCTGGCACTCCCCAGATCTATGTCTAAATTCCATATGTGAGAGAGTACATGCCATGTTTCTCTTTTTGTGACTGGGTTACCTCACTCAGGATGGTTTCTTCTAGTGCCATCCATTTGCCTGCAAATCTCAGGATTCCATTGTTTTTTTCTGCTAGTCAGTACTCCATTGTGTAAATGTACCACATTTTCTCTATCCACTTTTCGGTTGAGGGGCATCTAGGTTGCTTCCAAGTTCTGGCTATTAGAAATAATGCTGCTATGAACATAGTGGAACAGACATCCTTGTTGTATGAATGTGAATCTTTTGGATATATGCCTAAGAGTGGAGTTGCTGGGTCTTGTGGTAGGTTTATTCCCATTTTTCTGAGGAATCTCCATACTGATTTCCAAAGTGGCTGAACAAGTTGGCACTCCCACCAGCAATGGAGGAGTGTTCCCCTTTTACCACATCCTCTCCAGCATAAATTGTCATTGGTTTTTTGATTTTAGCCATTCTGACAGGAGTGAGATGGTATCTCAGAGTTGTTTTGATTTGCATTTCTCGGATGGCTAAGGATGTTGAGCACTTTCTCATGTGCCTCTTAGCCATTTTAGACTCCTCTATTGAGAATTCTGTACTTAGTTCTGGAGCCCACGTTTTAATTGGATCCTTTGGTGTTTTGGAGACTTGCTTCTTGAGTTCTTTGTAAATTTTGGAGATCAGCCCTCTGTTAGATGTGGGGTTAGTGAATATTTTTTCCCATTCTGTGGGCTGCCATTTTGTCTTGTTGACTGTGTCCTTTGCCTTACAGAAGCTTCTCAATTTCAGGAGGTCCCATTTATTAATTGTTGATCTCACTGTCTGTGCTACTGGTGTTATGTTCAGGAAGCTGTCTCCTGTACCAATTGGTTCAAGAGTACCACCCACTTTCTCTTCTAAGAGGTTCAGTGTGGCTGGATTTATGTTGAGGTCTTTGATCCATTTGGACTTAAGTTTTGTGCATGGCGATAAACATGGATTGATCCTCATTCTTCTACATGCCAGCCTCCAGTTATGCCAGCACCATTTGTTGAAGATGCTTTCTTTTTTCCATTGTATGTTTTTAGTTTCTTTGTCAAATATCAGGTGTATATACATGTGTGGGTTAATATCAGGGTTTTCAATTTGATTCCATTGGTCTACCTGTCTATTTTTGTGCCAATACCAAGCTGTTTTCAGGACTATAGCTCTATAATAGAGCTTGAAGTCAGGGATGGTGATGCCTCCGGACATTGCTTTGTTGCACAGGGTTGTTTTGGCTATCCTGGGTCTTTTGTTTTTTCATACAAGATTGATTATTGTTCTTTCAAGATCTCTGAAGAATTGTGCTGGTATTTTAATGGGGATTGCATTGATTCTGTAGATTGCTTTTGGCAGGATTGCCATTTTTACTACATTGATCCTACCTATCCAAGAGCATGGGAGATCTTTCCATTTTCTAAGGGCTTCTTTAATTTCTTTCTTTAAAGATTCAAAGTTCTTGCGATATAGGTCTTTCATTTGTTTGGTTAGCATTACCCCCAAGGTATTTTATGTTGATTGTGGCACTTGTAAAGGGAGATGTTTCTCTGATTTCTTTCTCAGCCCTTTTATCATCTGTATATAGTAGGGCTACTGATTTTCTTGAGTTGATCTTGTAGCCTGCCACTTTGCTGAAGGTGTTAATCAGCTGTAAGAGTTCCCTGGTAGAGTTCTTTGTGTCATTGATGTAAACTATCATATCATCTGCAAATAGTGAAAGTTTGACCTCTTCTTTCCCAATTTGTATCCCCTTGATCCCCTTTTGTTGTCATATGGCTCTGGCTAGAACTTCAAGTACAATGTTGAAAAGGTATGGAGACAGTGGACGGCCTTGTCTTGTTCCTTATTTTAGAGGCATTGTGTTGAGTTTCTGTCCATTTAGTTTGATGTTGGCTGTTGGTTTACTGTATATAGCTTTTATTATGTTTAGGTTTGTTCCTGTTATCCTACATCTCTCCAAGACCTTTATCATGAAGGGGTGTTGGATTTTGTCAAAGGCTTTTTCAGCATCTAGTGAGATGATCATGTGATTTTTGTTTTTCAGCTTGTTTATATGGTGGATTACATTGATGCATTTTCATATGTTGAACCATCCCTCCATCCCTGGGATGAAACCTACTTGATCATGGTGAATGATTGTTTTGATGTGTTCTTGGATCCGATTTGCCAGTATTTTATTGAGTATTTTTTGCATCAATGTTCATGAGGGATATTGGTCTGAAGTTCTCTTTCTTAGTTGTGTCTTTGTGTGGCTTGGGGATCAAGGTTATTGATGGCTCATAGAAAGAGTTTGGCAAAGACCCTTCTACTTCTATTGTGTGGAACACTTTGAGAAGAATTGGTATAAGCTGTTCTTTGAATTTCTGGTAGAATTCTGCACTGAGGCCATCTGGACCTGGGCTTTTTTTGGTTGGGAGACTTTTGATGACTGCTTCTATTTCCATAGGGGTTATAGGTCTATTTAAATTGCTTATCTGTTCTTGATTTAATTTTGGCAAGTGATAGATATCCAGGAAGTCGTCCATTTCCTTTAAATTTTTGAATTTTGTGGATACAGGTTTTCAAAATATGACCTGATGATTCTCTGAATTTCCTCAGAGTCCGTTGTTTTGTCCCTCTTTTCATTTCTGATTTTGTGAATTTGCATGTTCACGCACTGCTGTTTGGTAAATTTGGACAAAGGTTTGTCTGTCTTGTTGATTTTCTCAAAGAACCAACTCTTCGTTGCATTGATTCTTTGTATTGTTTTCCTAGTTTCTAGGTTATTGATTTCAGCCCTCAATTTGATCATTTCCTGGCATGTACTCCTCCTGGGGGAGTTTGCTTTTTTGTGTTCTAGAGCTTTCAGCTGTGCTGTTAATTCTCTAGTATAACTATTCTCCAGTTTCTTCATGTGGGCACTTAGTGCTATGACCTTCCCCCATAGCACTGCTTTCAAAGTGTCCCATAGGTTTGGGTATGTTGTGTCTTCATTCTCATTGAATTCTAGGAAGTCTTTAATTTCTTTTTTATTTCTTCTTTGAACCAGGAATGGTGCAGTTGTACATTATTCAATTTCCATGAGTTTGTAGGGTTTCTGCAATTTGTGTTGTTGAATTCTACTTTTAATGCATGGTGGTCTGATAAGATGCATGGAGTTATTCCAATTTTTTTTTGTACCTGTTGAGGTTTTATATGTTGCCTGGTATGTGGTCGATTTTTGAGAAGGTTCCATGTGGTGGTGAGAAGAAGGTATATTCTTTTTTATGTGGATTAAATGCTCTATAGATGTCTGTTAGTCCCAGTGGGTCATTACTTCTATTAGACCCTTTGCTTTTTTGTTGAGTTTCTGTCTGGTATTCCTGTCTAGTGGTGAGAGTGGGGTGTTGAAATCTCCCACTATAAGTGTGTGGGGCTTTATATGTGATTTAAGTTTTAGTATTGTTTCTTTTATGAATGTGGATGCCTTTGTATTTGGGGAATAGATGTTCAGGATAGACACTTCATTTTCGTGGATTTCGCCTGTGATGAGTATGTAATGACCTCCTTCATCTCTTTTGATTGATTTTATTTTAAAGTTTCATTTGTTAGATGTTAGGATTGCTACCCCTGCTTGTTTCTTGGGTCCATTTGATTGGAAAAAATTTTCCCAACCTTTAACTCTCAGGTAATGTCTGTCTTTGAGGGTGAGGTGTGTTTCTTGTATGCAGCAGAAGGAAGGGTTCTGTCTTCGAATCCATTCTGCTAGCCTGTGTCTTTTTATGGGTGAGTTAAGGCCATTAATGTTGAGGGATATTAATGACCATTGATTGCTCATTCTTCTTTAATTTGGAATGGTTGTTGGTGGTGGAATTTCACCCCTTTATTCTTTTGGCTGTTGGTAGAGAGGGATTCTCTAATGAATGCCTATGTTTTTCTGGTTATAGTTAACTTCCTTGGGTTGGAGTTTTCCTTCCAGAACTTTCTGTAGGGCTGGGTTAGTGGATATGTATTGCTTGGATCTAGTTTTGTCATGGAATATCTTGTTTTCTCCATCTATTGTGATTGAGAGCTTTGCCAGGTATAGTAGTCTGGGCTGGCATCCATGGTCTCTTAGTGTTGGTAGAATATCTATTCAGGACCTTCTGGCTTTCAGAGTTTTCATGGAGAAGTCAGGTGTAATTCTGATAGGTTTGCCTTTATATAGTACTTTGCCTTTTTCCTTAGCTGCTCTTAATATTCTTTCTTTATTCTGTATATTTGGGGTCTTGATTATTATGTGGCGAGGGGACTTTTTTTGTGATCCACTCTATTTGGTGTTCTGTAAGCTTCTTGCACCTTCATTGGCATGTCTTTCTTTAGGTTGGGAAAGTTTTCTTGTATGATTTTGTTAAATATGTTTTCTGCCCCTTTGAGGTGGTTTTCTTCACCTTCTTCTATACCTATTATTCTTAGGTTTGGTCTTTTCATGGTTCCTGGATGTTTTGTGTTAAGGATTTATTGGACTTAAGATTTTCTTTGGTTAATGAATCCATTTCTCCTAGTGTATCTTCAACATCTGAGATTCTCTCGTCCATCTCTTGTATTGTGTTGGTAATGCTTGTATCAGTAGTACCTGGCCGTTTGCCCAGCTTTTCTATTTCCAGCCTTTCTTCAGATTGTGTTTTTTTTATTGTCTCTATTTCAGTTTTCAACCCTTGCACTATTTGCATTGTTTCTTGCAATTTTCAGTTTATCTTTTCGTCCATTTGTTGCATTTTCTGTCTTTTTTGGTTTGTTCTTTCTTTCATTTCTTTCATTTTTTGGTTTGCTTTTTCTTCCATTTCTTGCATTTTTTTTGGTTTGCTTTTTCTTCCAGTTCTTGTATTTTTGGGTTTGTTTTTTCCTCCATTTCTTGCATTTTTTGGTTTGTTTTTTCATCCATTTCTTTGAGGGATTTTCCTATATCCTCTTTTAGGGCCTCTATCATTTTCATGAAAGTGGTTTAAGGTCATTCTCTTCTGCTTCGTTTGCATTGGAATGTTGGAGTCTTGCTGGTGTGGAGTCTCTAGAATCTGGTGGTGTCATATTTGTTTTTCTGTTGCTGAGAGTGTTTTTATGTATTGTCTCTTTCCCATCTCTTCTTCTAGTGGGTGCAGAAAGAGCCCCTTACTGGTCTGTTGGTTACGGGACCAGAGTTCCCTTTTGGTGGGTGCTAGCAAGTCCAATAATCTGGTAGTTCTTCTATTCCTTGTCCTTGTTCTGGTCCCCTGGGTGGAGAAGAAAACCAGGAATCTGGGGTACTTAGCCTCCCACCTGGTTCCCTGGTCCCTTTGCTGGATCTGCTGGTTTCCTGGTCTCATTGGTGGGAGAGAAGACCTGGAATCTGGCGTGCTTGGCTCCTGCGGGGATGGGAAGCTCTGTGCAGTTCCCAGGCAATCCCCAGGCACTGGAACGCAGGCCTGGATGCAGGGCCTATTTTACCTGGTCTGGCTGAAACTGCTGGTCCTAGTCCCACCTATCTTGCTTCCCTATTGGCCAACGTGCTTTATTCATCAATAAGACAAACACAGACACAGAAGGACTTCCCCATCATTCCCCTACCCCTACCGCTTGACCTCAGGCTATCTCATGGCACACCTCACTCTATTCTTTGGGCTCTAGCACAGCGTTGGAGTTGGGCAACGCTGAGCCTAAACGGAATCCTCAGTCACTGCAAAATTTACCCAAATCGGGACTGTGAGCCTCATCCAGGCTTGGGAACAGAGCTTTGTACTCCTGCCCCTTCTCTCGATGTTCTTTGTCTGAAAATCTCTGCACTCGAGTCTCTCCCCTTTTCCTGTTCTGTTTGTCTGCCTGCCTGCCTCTCTCATTCCTGGCTTGTGATCTGGTCATACTGGGATTCTCCCTGCAATGGATCCGTTCTGCCTGCCCTCCTGCCCTGATCTGCATAGGCGATCCTTAGTTTCCTTAGTTTCCGTTCTCCCTTGCAGCATCTGCTGACCTGGCCCACAACGGGACACCCACAGGTGTGCCTGACCCACCCCTGCCACCTGCTCCACCCATGTAAACATTTCTCCTGTCTGCTCTCCTCTCACAGTAGCCTGGGAGACCCATGGCTCGGGCCCTAGCCCACTGGAGGCCACCCTTACCTTCTGCTCCTCCCTGGCTCTCTCTCACCTGGCTGTCTCTTAGTCTGCACCTGCAGTCCTGCAGCTTGTTCTGTTCTTCATACTGTAAACTCTTATTTTAGGATTTTTAAGTTGGTCAGCTGACACGGTTTCCTGAGGAAAATTTTGTCTGTCCGGATGCATGTGTGAATTAATGTGGCTACAGTATGCCTGTTTTATGCATGTGTATGTGTGCTTGTTTTAAAATTTGTAAGGCTTGTGACTCCAGATTGAAACTGCTCTGGAAAATACTACATGGTCTGCCAATACCTTACAACATGTGGGCAGATGACATTTTGACTAAGGTCAGAGACAGAGGTCATATAATGAGGTTTATAAAAGATATGGTTTAAAACAATGCTGGTCTACTGAAATATTAAACTACACCTGTATATTCATGTACAGGGATGGATGTTGCTGGCAGCCAGATTTTGTAACCTAAGAGTAAATCCCTTGGTATCATTGATTTAAAACACTAATTATTTACAATATTAAAACTTGGTTCTGCCTTCTACAGATTAGGATTGTGGTCTAGGTCTCAGGACCACAGGTAAAAACCAGAGACTGCAATAGTCCTTCCAATCTTCTTGCCTCTACTAACACTGGTAATGGTACCCCAATCCTCAGGCACCATAACAGATCTGAGAGTATGGCATTTGACAAAAAAAGCTTCTTATGATAGAGAGACATGCCAGTTCCTGCAGCACCTGTATCTCCTCCAAGAAGATGCATGGCTGCAGAAGAACTTCTACCTGGAGGCTTGCTTTGGATGCGGCAAAGCCGGCCACAAAGCAAACAGCTGCCTTCATTCACCTCAGCTGCCTAGGTCCCTCATGGACTGGACACCAGGACACCAGGGGAACTGATGGCCCCATCCTGCCAAGACAGGTAAGCTGGTCTTCCCAAATTCCTGCTCCACAGAAGTCAGCAGCTAAAGGCAAGTACTGCTTCTGGGACCTGTGTTCACCACGGAACACGGGGACACCGGAGATTGCTGCCTAGGGAGCTGGCGTCTCACTTCTGTTCATCTACTTATCCCTCTCAGATCTGTCTGTTGGCGTTCGACAACTAGGGTACTGATACCTCACCAGTTAAGTTTCCTGCTGAAAGTACAGACGGGTGGGCCTCTTCACAGGCTTCGTAGCCCAGGATTACCAAGTCTCAGGTGTAACCTCTGAGGTTCAGAGTTTTAAATTTCCTCTGGTCTTCTAAGGTGTTCATGCCTTTTAACCCAGAGCCATACCTTTTTTTCTATGACACCAAGACATAAACCTGTTCAGTTGTTTTACAGGCACCTGCAGGTTCCTGGGAGAAGTTCTGCCACTGTAGCAAAAAGTCTGGCACGATGAAAGCTGACTTCTCCAGAGCCTCTTCTGGCCCCACCCATTTTCAAGTGTATCTTGCGGGTTCACTCCTCCTGCCTGGGTCAAGGCGAGCCCGCAGAGGGCACCTGCACCTGTCCCTGGGACTTCGCCACTGGTACCACTTCTCCAGGCTCAGGAGGGCACCTGCCCAGCAACTGGAACCCAGTTTTCCAAGCTGTCCCAATAAAGGGCGTATCTACTCTCCTGTCTCACTCATTCACCCTTGCCTCTACTACACAACCAGGACGCTTCTCTGTTCCATTCATTCTGCAGTTGTCGCCCTTCCCAAGGCTTGCCCTGCTCCATTCATAGGACTGGTGATAACAATCTGTTCCTTCTCCTAGAATCCTGCCTTCTCTGCCTCCTCAAGGAACAGATGCCTGAGGTCTCCAAGATGGCAGTTACACGAATGCTTCTCTACCCGTATTTTCTGCTGAGTGTAAGCCCCCCAACTCCTGCCTCCCCCTTCCCCACATCGTCCCATGCCTGCCAGAAGTAGCCAGACAAAAACCAAGGTCCCAAAGAATCTGGGAAGAGATGCTCTGGTGGAGTTCCACCCCAGCCCCTGGCACCCATATACTCAGAATCTGGGCTGACTAGGTGGAAGGCATACTTCTCTGTCTCAAGAGACTGCCCCCCTCAGAAAGCCTGGCAAACAGCAGCCCCTCCCTTCAGAAAGTTCACCATCAGTGACTCCTCCCCTGGTGATACCTGGGACCACACCTATTTAAACACACAGATCTGCCATGTGTGACCTCGAGATTCCTCTCCTGCCCGCAGAGTGTCAGCCAGGAGTTGCTTTGCTCTGTTCATTAAACCTGGATTTCACAATTTGGTTTGATTGAATTACTATATCGGTGGTGGCAGACTTCCAATAGGGGGATTCAGACTTATTACCTACGTTAACACCTAACTACAGAATTAGTTAAAAATACACTGTCCCTGTCTCTGTGCACTGCCCTTTCCTAAAGTTGCGTTTAAAGAGCAATTGTAGGGCTAAGGATGTAGCTCAATTGTTAGAGCACTTGCGCCTGGCATACATGAAGCCCTGAAATGAACCCCAAGCATAGCAGACACTGGACATGGTGGCTCATGCCTGTAATCCTAGCCCTTGGGTTTCGGAGGCTTGGAAGGTCAGGAGTTCAAAGTCATCCTTGACTGCATAGTGAATTCCAGGCTGGCTTGGGTTACTAGAAACCCTGTTTCAATAATAAATGAGTAAGTGAATAAATAGAATGTTAGAAGTTATTTGTCAGGAAGTATAAAGCAGATGCTGTCATGGTGTTACAGGTAGACGTTAGAGTCCAGAGGTCAATGAGTGGGAGTCCCAGGTTCTAGTGTCTCTGGAATAAAAGATTTGGACAGTGGCATGCTGGGTAATAACAGAAGAACAGATAGTTATTGCGAGAGTAAGGCACTTTTGAGAGGGCAAGTAGACTAGAGATAGGGAAAGTTCAGGGGATCAATGGCACACCCTATACAAAGGATTGGGATTTTCATATACCTACCTCCTGTCTATGGCTTTCAGTCATTTTCGTAGTATGCTAGTAGTCTATGCATGGGATTCCAGTCTTTTCCTCAACTGGCTTCTTTCATATGCTAATCATAACTCATCACTCTCATTCCACAGTGGAAACTAGACCACAGACCGGCAGATAACTGTCTCTAAGTGATCGTATTGTTCTTAGAGTCATGGGCTCAGGATGTCTGATTGCTAGACCAAGATAAGGCATACACATCATCCATTTTCTCAAGAGTATTGAACTACCCTGGCTGCCAATTGCCTGAGGTCATAACAACATTGCTCCAAGAGACACTTCGTAAACCTCTCAGGGGCTTCAGACAGGATGGTCACAGGTGTCAGTCTCCAATTGCTGAATCATAGGCTTGTCGCTGAGGTAACATGATCCTCTCTTTGGGGAGCTATCCTTGGCAGACTTACTCTTCTTCCCATTCTAATTCTAAAGAAAAGCTATACCTAAATGATTAAGATGCTAGCTACTAAATAACCTCTATTTAGATTTATGAAATGTGTGAGTTCATTCTGCCAATAACTTTGGGGTACCAGCCTTAGGGCATGGCCTGGGGAACTTTGTGAGGGACTGAAGAGCCTAAGGGGAAAGTGTGCTCACTCTCCCTTGCTCTGGCTTGTGATTGGTGTAGAGGGAGAACTAAGTGGTTGAGAAACAGCGAGGTATCAGTGGCAGCTTCAGAGTTACTCTGTATTTTGTGAGTTTGATCCTCTCATTGCATTTTTTAAAAATTGAGCTATACATTTTCCCCCCACTTCCTTTCTCTCCGCCCCTCTCCCCTTCCACCCTCCTCCCTGCCCACCATGCTTCCATGGTACTCAGTAAGTAGATCTTGTCTTTTTCCCCTTCTTTGGTGGGTCTATGCATGTCTCTCTTAGGGTCCTCTTTGTTACTTAGGTTCTCTGGGGTTGTGGCCTCTATGCTGATTGTCCTATGCTTTATGTCTAATATCTACGTATGAGTGAGTACATATGATATTTGTCTTTCTGGATTTGGGTTACCTCGCTCAGGATGACTTTTTCTTGTTCCATCCATTGGCCTGCAAATATCAAGATGTCATTGTTTTTTACTGCTGAGCAGTACTGCATTGCATAAATGTACTACATTGTCCTTATCCATTTTCGGTTGACAGGCATCTAGGTTGATTCTAGGTTCTGGCTATTATGAATAATTCTGCTATGAACATAGTTGAGTAAGTGTCCTTGTGGTGTGAATGTGCAGTTTTTGGGCATATGCCCTAAAGTGGTATTGCTGAGTCCTGAGGTATATTTATTCCCATTTTTCTGAGAAACTGCCATGCTGATTTCCAAAACTGCTGTTCAAATTTGCATTCCTACCAGCAATGGAGGAGTGTTCCCCTTACTCTACATCCTCTGTAGCATAAGCTGTCACCAGAGGTTTTGATCTTGGCCATTCTGACAGGAGTGACATGGTATCTCAGAGTTGTTTTGATTTGCACTTCTGTGGTGACTAAGGATGTTGAGTATTTCCTTAAGTGTCTTTTGGTCCAGTGCTGAGATTAAAGGTGTGTGCCAACACCACTCAGCTAATACTTGCTGTTGTAGGTGAGGACTCAAGCAATGTACATATTTAAATTTTTGCCTTATTTCCCTGAATGTTGTCAATGATTTCTCATGTTATGGACAAGTCTATCAAAAGTATGTCTTTAATCGTGTGAATCAAAGCCCTGTACTTTAATTGTGTGAATATGCCACTGAAAATGCTGAATTACAAAGGAAATTTATGGGGCAGGAACTATGGTTCAGTGGGTCAAGGTGCTTGCTGCCAAGCCTGATAACTAAAGTTTGATTTCCCAGACTTAGTAGGTGGAAGAAGAGAACTTGACCTTGAACTCCTGACTCTTCTGCCTCTACTTCTCCAGTCTGGGATTACAGGTTGCTAGGTTTCAAACCTGGCTGAGGTGCCCACTTCACATATCAAAGCAAACCTGGCTGCTAGGTTATCCCAGGATTCATACCACACTACTACCCCAAACTCTCTAGCCCAGGGACCTGGATTGCTTTTCCCTATTTAATCTAGCCATTTTGGTTACTCTGATCTCTTTTGGGCCTCCTGGCTGCTGAACCTCGTTCCCCTCTCTTTTCTTTCCCTACCCCCCTTCCCTCTCCTCACACCACTCAGAGTCATGTCTACTCTGGACTCTCTCCCATGTCCCTGCATGTGACTATGTTCTCCCTTTTATCTATGTAAACTTTCTCCTCCTCCATGCTTTGGAGCAGTCATGCTCTTTCCTTTCCTTTTTATTTCTTTTCTGCCCCCCACCCCCACCCGCCCCCCACAGGTATGTGCCATGTGCCCTATTTGAAAGTTGAAATCTTGATATAACAGAATTTATAGATTCTTTATAATTCTTGGGTTTAAACTTTTACTGTTAAGTTTATCATCATTACAAAGCTATATTGTCTTACTTTTCTTATGTAAGTTTTGAATAATTACTTTCCAGCTAGGTCCGTGCTTTCCTCTGAGGTTTGACTCTTAGGTGAAATAGGAACACTACTGTCTTTTTGTTTTCCACTATGGTAATTCAGCTGAACTCAACACTGTGTGTTGATGTGTCCGTTGTTTTTTCTAGGGGCTTATTGGCTCGTCTGAAGCAGGAAGGCCTCAGATGCAGTTGGGTGGGCCCCTAGGCTTTTGTGTATCACCTGAGCCTCCTGTGGCTTCTGAGCTTGAGTAGCCACAGCCTTTTACTTTTCGGCCTCACGCTTTCTTCTCAGGGATTCTCCAAATCATCACTGAGCTTAAAAAAATTGAGAAAGGACACAGATGAGGTCACAGGATGTCTTCACATGGGGAGATATAAGGCATGAGACAAGGGTTATCTAGGTTGTTTTCACCTGATAAAGAAGGCTTCTGCAGAGTCCCTGGCACCACATGGTAATAAACAGCCTTAGTAAAAGCCTTTTCTGGCTTGTTACAAATCTTATCTGAAATCTGTAAGTGACTGATGCCTAATCAGTATCCTGGACTGATGGGGGATGTCCTTCTGTATGCTGTGAATATGTTTCTCTTATTGGTTGATGAATAAAACACCAATTGGCCAGTAGCCAGGCAGGAGGTGTAGGCGGGGCTACCAGATGAGGAGGATTCTGGGGAGAGGATGCAGAGAGATGTCATGTAGCTGCTGAGGGAGTAACAGGTCCAGACAGTCTCTGGTAAGATAAGACCATGTGAAAATACTTAGATGCATAGAAATGGGTTAATAACTAAGAGAGAGCCAGTCACTAAGAAGCCCGAGCCATCGGCCAAACAGTTTATAATTATCACAAGTCTCTGTGTGTTTATTTGGGGGGCTAAACAGCTGTGGGACCAGGCAGGAAAGAAACTCCATCTACACTGGCTATTTTTCAACCAGCAACATTTTGACAATTGCTTTGCTATGAGTTCTTCCTCTCCTCTCCTCTCCTCTCCTCTCCTCTCCTCTCCTCTCCTCTCCTCTCCTCTCCTCTCCTCTCCTCTCCTCTCCTCTCTCCTCTCCTCCTCTCCTCTCCTCTCCCTCCCCTCCCTCTCCCCTCCCCTCCTCTCCTCTCCTCTCCTCTCCTCTCCTCTCCCCTCCCCTCCTCTCCCCTCCCCTCCTCTCCTCTCCTCTCCCCTCCTCTCCTCTCCTCTCCCCTCCTCTCCTCTCCTCTCCCCTCCTCTCCTCTCCTCTACCTATCCCAACATTCTCTTTTATCTATTATTTATTGATTGATTGGTTTTCATAAGATGAGTCTTATATAATCCAGGCTGGCCTGGAAATCACTATGTGGCAAAGAATGACTGAAAGACCTCGGCATCAAAGCGCCGGGCACTGAACCGAACCCTCTGCCCAAGAACCGGGGCCAGGCCACTGGCTGCAAATGCAAGAGGTGATTTATTGAGTACACAGGTGCCTGCGGATGCTACTGCAACTCGGGTGCAGAGCATACCGGGCTTGTAGGGAGCACAATATTTATAGAGTTTTAATGGTTACATAAGTATCAGCATAGCAACAGCATTTCATTGGCTCATCTTGGGGGCAGGGGTAGTTCCCACGGACTAAGTTTCCTGGTATTACCTCATGAAAGACCCCGGCACGCTTCAGCAATTATTATCCGGGTCCCATGACTACTATGGTGATCATAGACACAACTGGGGGCAGGGGTAGTTGCCAAGGACTAGGTGTCCTGGTATTGCCACATAAAAGACCCTGGCATGCTTCAGCAATTATTATCCGGGTCCCATGAC